ATGCTAAACAATCACACCGAGGCGAACCGCTATTTGTTGATGTACTATATATTGGTTTTGTTTTTGAAGCTAGATGGCCGACCGAGAAACATGGATGAGGAGGAGTTGATGATGAATTTGATCAACTTTTGGCACTCAAGTTGCGGCGATGATGGTGCTAAAAATAACGTGCAAGAGGATGCGAGATGGACGGGAGTCGATGCTTAGCTCTTGAACAAAATGAGCAACAACAGATTGGCCAAGTATATATTTTTTATTATTAGCTATATATATTATCATATGTCTTTATGTGTGCTCATGACATTAAAAATAATGTTTATGTTTTGTAGCCCTCTGGATCGACATCAACAACTACAACGAAGAGTAAAAATGTTCGAGGTCCCAAAAAGCCATTGGAGGGCCGCTTCATCATCTCGGAGTTCAATGTGGATCTGAGGAGAACCGGGGGCGAATAAAATGAAATTTGTGCACCACCTGTGGTTACCTTATGCGGGACCGGCTCCCGATTAGTACCCGTGAATGGAAGAAGAAGACCAATGCTCCTCATATCAGTTTTGTCTCCGATCGTGACAAGGCGTTAATTTGGAATGATGTCTTGGTACATTTCACGCTCCAAACAGATGGTTATGATGATATAATAGATGGTGATGAATTGAAGGAGCGAGTTAGGGATTGGGCAATGAAGAAGATGGCCACCCAGTTTTAGACTTGGAAGAAACACCTATACACGACGTATATCAAGAAGAACATAGCACCAGATTTTCTTGTCCCGGCCCGATCTCAAAGCAGAGGCCCTATTGGGATGAGTTTATGCAATTACAAGACTTGGAAGAGGGTGTGAGTCGGGTGATAAAGAACCAACGTAATGCCCAATAGAAGACATACCACCATACCTTGGGATCAGGTGGCTACCCAACTGCCATTAAGAAGTGGAACAAAATGGAAGCAGACCTTCTTGCCAAGGGTATTAGACTAGAATCACTCGAGTGGGGAGAACGTGCAAAGAATTGGTTTTTCGGTCATGGGGGAACACTAGACCAGGAGACAGGGAAGTGCGTTTATGGCGCAAGAGGCGCAAGAAGCAGCAGAAAGATTGTTTTATGCTCAGAGAGCTATTGCTAGTGGTGTGTTCAGCCCAATGAGAGAAGGATGAGTGACATACGCCATCGGGGACTGTTGAACATGGTGGCGAACTAGAGGCAAAGGAAGTGTCTCGTGGGAGCATGGATTCCCTCAGATGCAGACCTTCTTCTGAAGTCACCAGAGAAAGAAGGAAGAAGAGGCAGAGCGGCTCCGGAGATTGGAGGAAGCGGTGCGTGAAGCATGAGGCGGAAAAAAACCTTGAAGCGAGAATGCAGGAGGAAATCAGAAGGCAAGTGCAAATAGCAGTGAGTGCAAGTAAGCAGGCATCAGAGCCAGAAATCAACATTAGCCAATCTGTTCAGTTGAAAAGCAGCTGCGCTTCCACGGAGATACCAAATCAAGGGGACACAGGACTGCGCTTCCCTGTGGATGACGTCACTGAACCTTGTACAACGTGTGAGCTACACATTCCGAAGGAGAATTCTACAATCAAGGTGGCTATCGGTCTTGTTAATCCTATCGAACCGAACCAAGACACCAAGGATTCATGGGAATATAATACAAGAAGGATATGCTACCATCTCGGTAGATATAAAGTGAAAAAGGTTTTAGTGATTTGCCTCTTGACATTCACGGAGGTGATGGTAGAAGACTCTAGGAGAAGCGGAGAAGACATTCATTCTATGGGCAAGCGCTACATCATCATTCCGGGATGTCGGCTCCACCTCCTCTGAACTACCTCACCATAGGTGCGTGCGGATGAAAACACTACATCATTAATTTGTATTGGCTTAAATAATTAACAATCTGCTCATAATAATATGTCATTCCTTTTTTTTTGTAGCAGATCCTCCCCAACTAAATCCAATTGTTCAATCGCCGAGATCATCATAGTGCTCGAAGACGATGACATTATGTTGAAAGACGAGGCTGCATCTACACCATCTCCAAGGAGGTCTCCAACGCCGCAGCCCGCCACCTCCAAGGAGGTCTCCAACGCCGCTGCCAACACCTCCAAGGAGGTCTCCAACGCCTCCCCGCCCCGCCTACCAAGAAGCCTAGCAAGAGGCCAACCCCTCAAGCGAAGAACCAGGTCCCACCGCAAAGAAAGCCACCGTGAAACCAAGGGCTATTCCCGAATAATATCTCAAGAGAAGGAAGAAGGAACTGATGCATATAAAAAAGACATGTCTAGATTCTATGACAAACTTAAAATGAATCAAGAAGCAAGGAGAAACCCAGAGAAACCGTACTTCTTCAGTAGCTCCAGATATTCTAAGAAAAAGGTGACTTCTTACCGGCAACAACAGCTGGAATCTCGTAAGCCGTCCAAATCAACGTTATCGGACTATGACCGCACTCTCACCAAGTCAATTGAGGCGGCACGAGAAAAAAAGAAGGGCAGGGAAAGGCATTGCCCAACTCGGACAACAAGCGCACCAATCAATCCCCCGCTAGTTGTTGGTAATGAATATGGTTCGAATTTAGGATTAATGCATCGAGCAAACATACCTCCGGATGTCGATTTGGATCACCTTGGTGAATTTCTTGATGAGACTGGTCTCGACCTTTACCAGATGTTTGGTGATGGAAACATTGAGAGTGCTGGCGGAGGTTGATATTTGGAAGAAAAAAATTTGTACTAGGCGAGTCTATACAACCCTCAAGCCTTATCGATGGGGCGCTTAAATGTACCTACTAAACAAGTGGTACATGCGGCGTCTACCGATGGAGATTCTGCGTTGGTGTCGAGAATTAGAGGCGAACATTGGTTCCGTGGCGATGATGTTATGTATGTTGACTTTGCGAATTTCATCAACTATGCCACCGACCTCTCTCCGGACAAAGTTATCATTATTTGCTATTGCTCGTAAGTAATAATTCTTTCGATCTATTATTAAACTCATCATATGTGTGTATATGCATATAAATTATCCTAACAAGTACTATATATATGCAGATTTACAATGACAGAGCTCGAAAGGAAGGCTGCAATGAAATTGGTTTTGTTGATCCCCATATAGTATTCAAGACCCAATTACTCCAAAGACTAATTGGAAGTCTCGAGTCGGAGAGTAACCTCATGAACTTCTTAGTGAACCAACGCCACAAGAAGGATATACTCTTTCCTATAACTTCAAGTGAGTGTTAATCATGTCGATCATATCCTTAATGGCTCATATGTTGATTCTAGTTAATTAATGAGTGTTATGCGTTATATCCTATAAACACATGCAGCAATCCTTTGGATATTGATGGACATCGATGCGGTGAAAAGTCACTTGATAATCTATGACTCGATGAGAAACCATAACAAGACTACCAAGATATGATAGATATTATCTAGAGGTAATTTCGGGATCTCTAGCAACTATATATACACACAAACATGATGATTAACTATATCGATGACGTGGCAAATTTTTTATTAGGCGGTGTTTGGAAAACCTTTATTGAGAAGCAACACATGGAAAATGCAAAGCGCCCTTGAATGTAATCCCTTTGAAAGTAAGTCCCACGAATCGCATCATCTTTATTAATTAAACATATAGCTTTCTTTGGATCACCAGATTGGATGACAAATCTTTTTCTCGTAAAGTGGTGTCTAAGGCAGGAACAGGGGAACAACTACTGTGGTTACTATGTTTGCAAGTTTATCAAGGTGCTCTCCCAAAGAACTCCTACAGAGAGACTCAAAGTACGTTAAAAATACATTATATATTTATTTAATTATTATTATTGATTGTGTTACTATATCTTTATATATATATATGTACATATATTAATTTATTTTCCTTTAATTCAAACCTGTAGACTCGATGGTTGGAGGAAAAGGTCATACGGCAAGACCAAATCAAAGCAATTCAAGAGTCTATAGCCGGATTTTTTAATGAGCAGGTCATCGATTCCAAGGGCGAGTTCTACTTCGACCCAACACTGCCATTGAAGCCAAGCTAGAGGATGAGAGGAAACTTGTTATGTCACAACAACTGTAATGCAATCTTTTGTAATATATGCACATGAAATAATATAATGTAAAATACACATATGCATGCATGCATGTAAATATATATATGATGCATGCATATATATATATATATATATATATATATATATATTTCTATGCTTGAATTGTGTGATTTAATACGTTCATTGTGCTTGAACCGAAACATACTATATGCGCATATAAATGTATAATTAGCAGCATACAATACGACTTCGAAAACCTATTTTGAAAAGAAAACAAAAAAATGAAAAGAAAAGAAAAAAGAAAAAAATCTTTAGTCCCGGTTCGTATTACCAACCGGGACTAAAGGTGCCGGCCATCGTGGCATGTCAGGAGGCACCTTTAGTCCCGGTTGATGTTACCCACCGGGACTAAAGGTGTCCTCCTTTAGTCCCGGTTCCTGACCCGGGACTAAAGGACCCCCCTTTAGTCCCGGATGCTTGCTCCCGGGTGGGGAACTGGGACTAGAGGGGGTTCCCCACCGGGAGTAAAGCTCGGTTCTCTACCAGTGTTGTAAAGTCATACAGTTGGAGTCTGCTTTTTTTTTCTTTTTATTGAAAATTAGGTTGTTTTATACAGCTCTTGGAGATGCTCCAGCTAAAGCTCGTCCTCAACTAGGCTAATTATCAGCTTTGTGTCTGTGCCAGCACTAAGTTCAGCAGTTAGTTGCCTTCTCGCTGCTTGCTGCCAGAAGGCATCGACGGCTATTCCACAATATGCATCCATCCACAGAAAATAAGGAAACGACACTACGGTATATATTATCCATAAACAGAAGGACGACCAAATCCAAAGCACCGTACAACCCAGTCCATTTGTACGGTTTGGATACAGCATCCTGAATCTGAACATTTTATTCATGGGACCTGACTCCACACATAATCACACAGCACATGAAGTGGGGAATGGCTCAAGCAGATCCAAGGAAACGGCCCATCCAAGAAGACAAGCGAGACCAGGCCAGGTCGACGGCTTCCTGGTTCTCATGAGTCAGACCCATCCCCTTCTTCCTCTTGAGGGCCTCAGGCGAAGTGTTCATGAAGGCATGTGAACATCCAGGGTATATGTGAACTTCATATGGTATCCCTGAAGATTTGAGCTTCTCCTCCAGGGACTTGGCTGCCTGAAACATCATAAAAAATAGTAGTGTTAAATTCAAAGAATCCAATATACACATCATATGCTCTTCCTGTATTTTATGTTTGTTTGAGTAGTTATCAAGTAGAGAGACAATTTGGGAGCACCAGATACAAAACTAACATGCAGATATCGTACACAACCATGTTTCCACTTACTGCTATTACTAACACATAATGAGAAATATTAGTTATCCACCAAATGCTAGGCACATAACATTATAAAAGATTGCCATGAAGGCTACAACACTGACTTCACTCTTGCCCAGGCCTTGTTCACATGAAGAGTGAGATCTGGGCAATCCCAGTTTTCATGTAAACTTTCAGGCCTAATTATGAGTTTGCCCTCATGGAAATGTCTCCTAAAGAGATGCTGATGGTAATGACTACAGACGATGAAGTATATATATAAAAGATGAACCAAATGGCATGGTGGCAAACACTGAAACTACTAATTCCTTGCTCCAGCTTGGGTCTATTATAGTAAATATAAAAATTAATTTTATGAAACCTGGTGTGTACTGCTCTTGTAGTGTAGTCATGATTCTATCATGGGGGCAGTGCAATCCCAAGGTTCATCAACATTTGCCACATGAAGCATAGAAAATAATCTACTTTCTAAATCAAAAGGAACTTGGATATGGACAACAGTTGAGCTAAATAGCAGCATCAATCGGTGAAAAGTATGCATTGTGAAAAACAAAAATACAAAACAGAAAGGGAAATCATGTATATTTGGCAAATGCCGTAGCAACAGAGATAAGTGACTTGTGAGGTATAGCCTTACAGTGACATCTGAAAAACCAACAAAACTGTCATGCTCCCCGAAATGAGCCTGTGTAGGAGCCTTAGCCTTAGAAGGATCAGCAAGCTCAGAAGATGGTGTCCCATAGAAAGCAACAACAGCATCAACCTCTGGGACTAAAACTCCACTTGCAATTGATAAAGCACCTCCCATGCAATAGCCAGTAACACCAACCTAGTCACAAAAAGATGGAAAAGAAGGTTATCAACTTCTGATTAGTGTATATGTATGATAATGTGCATGTTAATCACTACTCCCTCCATCTCATGATAGTAGGCGTAACTGTTTTTCTTGCTAGTCCCAGGATACAGGGCGCTTGCTCGGCTTGCATGCAGAATTTACTGCTGCTGGTTGTTGGACTTCTAGTACTACTCCCGTCTCGTTAGCGCACGTTAGGTAGAGTAGACAGGGACAAAATTTCCATGCGCATGCATGCGCGCGGGCCAGACGATTTGGTTAATGATGACGTTTCCCGCAGTTATATTTGGAGGTGGAAGTGAAGAGGCAGCATTTATTTAGAGACGGAACTGAAGAGACTCATGCGGTAATTAGATGCTCCTTGGTCTTAGCGTTTTTTGAGTTGCGCCTATTATCCTGAGACGGAGGGAGTATAAAATGATACTGTATGGGTTATACCTTTATTCATGTTGTACTGGTTATGGTTAGACTGCTCTATAGCACAAATTCTGTGCGGGGCACAAAATCCTTTTCTAAATGTTTTTGGATCAGCAGTTCCTACAAACTTTCAGGCACATGAAATGCCTTAGTTATTCAGACAAGTTTACACTGATTTTGTTTCATGAATTTGTTACTCACTAGTCAGTAGCCTTGAGTTCTTACCAACAACAACAACAACATAGCCTTTCAGTCCCAAGCAAGTTGGGGTAGGCATTAATCAGGCTAATCCTTGAGTCCTTACCACAATTAGGTAATTTGCACCGTGCATTAATCAGGCTAATCCTGATCCACGGATCCTATACTGTAGATGGAAATTCTTCAGCACACTATAAGGAGATTCAGGACCACAAAATATCTCAGAAAATAGAATTTTGCGGTACAAGTTTATCATTAGCCTTTGTTCTTTTTATGCATGGAGATCTACTCATAAAGCTTGAAAAGAAGATAACATAAGAGATTTGATTTTTGAGTATCTTTCTAGTATGGAAAAGTAAATGTTTTTAATTGTTAGTAATCTGCTTCAAAAACAACACGTTTGGATGGCCAAGCCAGTAAACTGTAGGATTAACATAATGTTAATCAAGTGAAATACACCCCTTTTATTCAAGTCTACAAGACCTTGAATAAGAGCACCATATCTTTCCTGTAAAGATAAGAAACACCCAAGGTAGCTGTATAATTGTAAGCCTAAATCTATTCTTTTCAACAAGAGGATTGGAGACTTTTGGAGTTTAATATCATCCGGGGGCCAATCATGGGTTCTTTCACAAGAAAGGACCCTAGTATGGTGCTAGTGATAGATTCACAACAGTTAGTTCATTGAAACGAATTCCATGTAAGAATATATAACATACGATAACAGCAAATACAGATAGCAAATGACCAAGCAGAACAAAATAAAGAAACTCCTACCTTGGGTGATCCATTTGACTTCAGCCATTTAACTGAAGCCTGAATATCCTTGACTGTACCCTGCCAATCGAGACCCTCCATCAGGAGCCGTGCCTCAGCAACATCAAGAGCAACTTTTCCACGGTATAAACTGATAAGGGAAAAGAACATGTCAAGAGACGAAGTTCTTGGCCAAGTCACTATATTATAAGCAAGTATTTGTTAAGTAATCTGCTGCTTCCCTTGTGTAAACGCATGGCAGAGGAAGACGGCGTCGAAAAGGCTCCCTGTTGTGGTACTGTAGCAACAGCAGGGGCTGACGCCGAACGGCTCTCCTACCACACTATGGCCACAACAGGGGCAGACGCCAAAGTCAGCCCCGCTATCACATCTAGTCACTGTAGCAGCATGACAACCTAACATGTCTGTGTACTAGGATTAGATGGGTAGAGTTGTATATATAGTTTATCACTACAACTCAATAAAGGGAGCGAGTTAAGTTTTGCCATCTCCTCTGTCAGAGCTCCGACCAACACTAGTGCTTGTGCTGTGTGTGTGCTCTGTTCTCTCTCCTTTCTTCTACCTGTAGCCATAGTGTGGTCGCTAACGATAGTGTCGTGGTCGACAACGCTGGGGAGTGATCAGCTCACCCATGTTGGTGATTCAGTGGGCTAACAAGTGGTATCAAAGCCGTACAAGCGTCGTCGCCGGACTAACCGCTGGCGATGATGGACGGTTTGGAGTTGGACGACAGCAGCGACGCTGCTGTGGCTGCCCAACCATGATAGGAGGTCGTTGTGCGCACGGTGCGGGAGGTCAGCGGCACCAGTTGGCCGACGCTGACTCACACCAACTATGGCGAGTGGTTGGTGACCTTGAAGGTCAAGCTCAGAGCCCAACAGCTCTGGAATGCTGTTGACAAGGGCACCGACAATGAAGAAGACGACATGTCAGCGTTGGAGGCTATGCTCGCTGCTGTGCCGACAGAGTATAGGTAGCCATTGGGGGCGAAGAGCTCTGCTAAGGAGGCGTGAGAGGCCATTGCGGTGATGCGCGTCGATTCTGACCGCGCAAAGAAGGCGACGACCCAGCTGCTAAAGCAGGAGTACGCCAACCTCAAGTTCAAGGATGGTGAATCGGTGGAGGACTTCTCCCTCCGCCTGCAGACGCTCATCAGCAAGCTGAGGAGCCATGGCATCACCATCGACGAAGAAGAGGCGGTCTCCAAATACCTCCACTCCGTGCCGATGAAGTACATCCAGATCGCTCTCTCCATAGAGACGATACTGGACTTATCTTATCCACCCTCACCATTGAGGATGTGACAGGCCATCTACAGGTGGTGGACGAGCGCATGGAGCAGGCCACAGCGTCGAAGGATAACGGCAAGCTGCTGCTGATAGAGAAGGAGTGGGCTGCCCGGAGGAACTCGGGGGTAGCCTCCTCCAGCCACGGTGGCGATGGCAAGCGCCGCGGCAAGGCTTCTTGGAGAAGAAGAAGCAGGTCGACCCCAATGTCTGCCGGCGCTGCGGGAAGACGGGCCATTGGGCAAAGGAGTGCCCAAATCGCAAGCAGGAGAAGAAGGCTGAGGCTCATCTGGCATAGGCTGATGATGATGATGAGGCCACTCTCCTGATGGTGATGTTCTATTCACTCTAAACGATGTTGAGGCCAAGGAGAAGGGAGAGGTGATGGCGGTGAAAGGGCCTAGGAAGGCTCTGAAAGCTGTCTACCTCGACGAACCGTGTGCCCAAGTCCACCTCGGATGTGTGGGCTGCGAGCAGGAGCAGCGGTGGTATCTGGACTCTGGCGCTAGCAACCACATGACAGGCTCCAAGGCAGCCTTCTTTGAGCTCGACGACGACATGACCAGCATGGTGAAGTTCATTGACAACTCAAGGGTGGCGATCCGAGGGTGCGACACCATCATCTTTAGGTGCTAGAACGGCGAGCACCGCGCGCTAGCAGATGTATATTATATCCCGCAGCTACGTTCAAGCATCATCAGCATTGGCCAGCTGGATGAGCGCTGCAGCGAGGTACTAATCAAGGACAGCGTCCTCAGGATTAGGGACCGAGAGAAGCGCCTTCTTGCCACAGTAAAGAGGTCCCGGAACCGGCTGTACCTGCTCAACTTGAAGGTGGAGCAGCCGGTGTGCCTGGCGGCATGACACTTTGAGGAGTCGTGGCTGTGGCATGCCCAGTTCGGCCATCTTAGTTTTGACGTGCTCGGTCGGCTAGAGAAGATGGTCCGAGGGCTGCCCCACATCAAGCACGGAGGCAAGCTGTGTGATTGTTGCCTGGCCGGGAAGCAGAGGAGACTGCCGTTCCCAAAGGCGGCCAAGTATCGTGCGGTGGACGCTCTCGAGCTCGTCCATGGCGATCTCTATGGGCCAATCACACCAGCCACAAATGGTGGTCGGTGGTACTTCCTCCTACTCATGGATGATTGCAGTCACTACATGTGGCTGCAACTCCTAATGAGCAAGGACAAGGTGGTGGCGGGGATCAAGAAGTTCAAGGCACATGTGGAGGCCGAGAGCGGCAAGAAGCGGCGCGTGCTGAGGACTTATCGCGGTGGTGAATTCACTCCGATGGAGTTTGCTGCGTACTGTGCGGATTAGGGTGTGGTGCGACACCACACCATGCCGTACTCGCCACGACAGAATGGCGTGGTGGAGCAGCAGAACCAGATGGTGGTTGGCATGGCTCGATCCATGATGAAGGCTAAGGGCATGCCAGCAAGGTTCTGGGGTGAGGCGGTGACCACGGCGGTGTTCATCCTCAATCGCACGCCCACCAAGGCCCTAAAGGGCAAGACATAGTTCGAAGCTTGGTATGGGCGCAAGCCGAGTGTGTCCTTTCTCCAGACTTTCGGCTGCATCGGCCATGTTAGGAAGATGAAGCCGGTCCTCACCAAGCTAGAGGACAGGAGCACACCGATGGTGCTCCTGGGCTACGTGGAAGGTACCAAGACGTACCAACTCTATGACCCACGCAGAGGCAAGGTGGTTGTCTCACGCGACATCGTGTTCGACGAGAAGGCGGCCTGGGACTGGAACAGTCCGAGCACGAGGGAAGCTGGCGGCTTCACCAGCACCTTCGTCGTCGAGCACCTGGTTATCCAAGATGGTAGAGACGCTGGAGAGGAGGCGCAGACCACTCCAGCAACAGAGCCGAGCACTCCTAGGACGGTGCTGAGCACTCTAGGAGGGGTGCCGAGCACTCCAGGAGTGGTGCCAAGTGGTCCTACAGTGGTGTCGACCACTCCAGGACGGGTGTCGAGCACTGCAGCCGGGGTGCCGAGCACTCCTGCAGTGGTGCCGACCACTCCAGGAGTGGTGACGAGTGGTCCAGGAGTAGTGCTGAGCACTGCAGCCGGGGTGCCGAGCACTCTTGCAGTGGTGCCGACCACTCCAGGAGTGGTGATGAGCAGTCCAGGAGTAGTGCCGAGCACTATAGCTGGGGTGCCAAGCACTCTAGGTGCTGTGCCGATCACTCCGATGGAATAGGGAACTCCATCGATGCCGATCAAGTTCGCCTCACCTCCAAGCGACATCACTAAGTTCGTGGATGCCTTCCACGACGTTGAGAAGGTGCGGTTCCATAGGCTAGACGACATCATCGGCGGCATAGGGCCCTCAGGCCTGGCAGGACGGCTGCTCAATGACCCAAAGCTGCTTCTCGTCAGTGTAGAGGAACCACCCACGTTCACGCTGGCCGAGCGAGATGCAAATTGGAGATGGGCGATGTTGGAGGAGATGAAGGCGATTGAGGAAAACGAGACTTGGGAGCTCGTCGATTCACCTCTAGGATGTCGTTCGATCAGCCTGAAGTGGGTGTACAAGGTCAAGCAGGATGAGCACAGCGCCATTATCAAGCACAAGGCGCGCCTCATCGCCTAAGGCTTTGTTCGGCGCGAGGGCATCGATTTCGAGAAAGTTTTTGCATCGGTAGCGCGCATAGAGTCTGTCTGACTGCTACTGGCTTTGGCAGCAGTGAAGGACTGGCGTGTCCATCACCTAGACGTAAAATCGGCCTTCCTCAATGGCAAGCTGGCGGAGACGGTCTTCGTCAGACAACCTCTGGGTTTCGCTATCAAGGGAGAAGAGCACAGGGTGCTCCGATAGCGTAAGGTGCTCGACGAGCTGCGGCAGGACCCACGAGCGTGGAACGCCAAGCTTGACTCCACGCTGGGCGAGCTTGGGTTCACACAGTGTGCAACCGAGCACATGCTCTGCACGTGGCGACGAGGGAAGGAGGAGCTTCGTCGTCGGCGTGTATGTGGACGACTTGATCATCACCGGCGCGCGTGCGGAGGACATCGATAGCTTCAAACGCGAGATGGTGGCTCATTTTTGAATGAGCGATCTAGGTGCGCTCTCCTACTACCTCGACATCGAGGTTAGATAGGGGAAGGAGGCGCTCATGCTCGGTCAGAGCGCATACGCCTCAAAGCTGTTGGACCAGAGCGGCATGGCTGAGTGCAAGCCATGCATGACTCTAATGGAGGAGCGACTGAAGTTGACAAAGGCCAGTACCGCGGCGAAGGTAGATGCAACACTCTACCAGAGCATCATCGACGGTCTACGCTACCTAGTCCACACGAGGCCGGATATTGTGTTTGCCGTGGGTTACGTCAGTCGCTTCATGGAGGATCCCGAGAGGATCACTAGGCTGCGGTGAAGCGGCTATTGCGCTACGTCAAGGGGACGGTGGATCAGGGGATCGTCTTCCCAAAGAATGGTGGAAGTAGGCTGCAGCTCACTGTGTTCAGCGATGCAGACATAGCGGGGGACATCGATGGATGGTGGAGCACCTCTGGCATTCTCGTTTTTCTCAGGTTAGCTCCAATCTCAAGGCTGTCGCTGAAACAGAAGGTGGTGGCGCTGTCCACGTGCAAGGTAGAGTACGTGGCGGCACCCACAGTGGCGTGCCAAGCTGTGTGGCAGCGCCGGCTGCTGGGTGAGCTGATCGGTGTGGAAGCTCACCCACCAGCACTGATGGTGGACAACCAGCCCGTCATCGCCCACATGAAGAATCCGGTTCTCCACGATTGGAGCAAGCACATCGACGTCAAGTTCCACTTCCTCAGGGACTATATCGATGGAGGGCAGATCGTCATCGAGTTCGTCGAAACTGGTCGTCAACTCACGGACGTCCTCACCAAGCCGCTTGGCCATCTTCGGTTCACGGAGCTGAAGAAGATGATCAACATGGACGGGGTTCTAGGGTTAACAGCAGGATTAGAGGAAGAATGGTTAAGTAATCTGCTGCTTCCCTTGTGTAAACGCATGGCAGGGGAAGGCGGCACTGAAAAGGCTCCCTGTTGTGGTACTATAGCCACAGCAAGGGCAGACGCCAAAGTCAGCCCTGCTGTCATATCTAGTCACTGTAGCAGCATGGTAGCCTGACATTTCTGTGTAATAGGATTAGATGGGTAGAGTTGTATATATAGTTTGTCACTGCAATTCAGTAAAGAGAGCGGGTTCAGTTTTGCCATCTCTTCTGCAGAGCTCCGGCCAACGCTGGTGCTTGTACTGTATGTGTGTGCTCTGTTCTCCCTCTCTTCTTCTACCTCTAGCCATAGTGTGTGGTCGCCAACGATAGTGTCGTGGTCGGCAACGCTGGGGAGTGATCGGCTCACCCATGCCGGTGATCCAGTTGGCTAACAGTATTGACATCTTAAGAAGCATTCATTTTATATGCTCAAGTGATAAACAGGTGGCAACACAAGACATGATCATACTCTGGAATGAGTGCTCTGTATCCTCCACCAAGTTGGGAAATGTGGATCGCATGGTTCTTTATCTCATAGTCAACTCCCCACCATTCTTGCAAAACCACAATTCCAGGAGCATTTTCTTTGCCAACAACATAGGCATCAAAAGTCTACAGGTAAGAGGTTACATTTGAATATGAGATAAACTGACCAAAGCAATAGAACTTGTTAGAAACTGTACATGTAGCGTCTCAGGGAAACTTGTTATACATATAGACTTTTTGCTCAAAAAAAAAAAGCGAAAGCATCCTTATCTAGCAATTCTTTTAGTATTCAAACTTTGGTAACAAGACAGCCATGTTGGGAGCTCCAAGCTCCAAGCCAGCTGCACATGTCACCAAGACAAAAGCTAAGCTTTGCTACACTGTTTGCACCAAATTATCTGGCTGAAATCACATCTCCCTTATTTTTGCTATTTATACTCTGACCCTTTCATCTAGGATATATAGGATAAGGTCATAAGTTATACCAGAGAATCAATTTCGTATATAAATCTATGAAAATCTATCTAAGATATAGCATTCCATACATCACGTAGATCTTATTACTGAAATTCAAAGTTATTCCAATCACATTGAAGTCAATTAGGTAATAAATAGTTGGCCAATAATTGAAGGACTAATGGTGTTTCTATTTCATTACAGGGCAAGTAAATATAAAAATGCGACGAAGTCAAAAATAAGATAGAAATCTGAAATAGTCAAAGTCAAAAATAGCGATTCTGTAAAATCCTCAACAAATCCAGGTTTCTTGGTAGTTTACTATAATACTGTAAGGGTGTACATCTCTACAACTAAAAAATTTAAAGACCAATTGTTCACCGGCAAACGAAACAAACCCACCGTGTAACCCAATCGTTCACAGGCGTGTGATCAATCGCTCGCTAGCTAACCTCTCCCGGCGTGGTCGAATCACCCCTGTTCGGTGTCTGCCCGGCAACCACCACGATCTCCTCGTACCACGCCTCCCGGCTTCCCTCCCCCAATTAGCGTGATCTCTCCCTCGCCAAAATCTGCGATCTCTCGGTCCCGTGTCTCCCGGCTCGCTCCCCTTCCCCAATCAGTGACCGATAAAAAGGAAGGGTCATTCTCCACTCGCAAGTCGCAATCCCAACGTGTGCCACCCTCGCCGTTGCCCATCACACACGCGCGCAGCCGCCAAGCCGAGAAGGAGAAGGACCGCGCCTCTCGCTGTCGAGGGAGAGACGACGAGGATCTCATCCTCGCCCGGCACACGCCCTCCTCTTCACGGCTGCCGGCGAGAGGTCATCGCAACCCGCTGCCAAGGGAGAGGTGAGGTCCCAGCCGACGGATCGACGACGGCTCCCTTGCCCCAGCCCGAGTGGCCCCACAACCCCAGCACCGGTGCCCCCGCTCCCAGGCTCCTAGCTCGACTGCCCCATCCCCAGAGACGGACGTCCCGGACCGCCGCGGCCCCAGCGCCTGGTGAGTAGCGCCCCTCTGGTTCTCCCCTCCATTCTCTTCCTGTTAGCAAGTTCTCGTCAGGTCACGCAGTTGCCCAGGTAGCCTCCCTGTTCAAGACCTCACTCTAGATTGTACAACATTCAGAGGTTCAGAGTTTTAAGGTAGTTGACATTCAGAGGTGCCGAAATTTTAGGCAATGAAACAATGCACGCAAACACTGCGCTACTCGATCTATGTCGTCGTAGTGCCGGCCTGCGCTGCCCATACGAAAAAAATTTGCTATGTTCAAGCTTCAGAGGTTATCTTTGCACCTTTTTAGCTGTTGACCAATGGTATGTGTTTCTATGTTCAGGCTTCAGAGTTACAGGTAGAACTACCCCTCAATTTGTCTTTTTATTTAGGTCTAAGCTAAGATATAAATCAGAATGTTATCATTATCCAGATGTTTGAAATGATTTATAAAATATTTTCCTATTGATATATTTGTCTACAGATTATATGCTATGAAGAAAACTCACTGCAGACTGGTGTAGCAAATTGCCTTCTAGAATCTTGCACGGAGAGCTTTTTGCATGACCAGTTTCTAGATGGAAGGTAGCATGTTCATGTGGTTATAGAACAGTTTTGTATCTTTGTTTCCACAGGAGAGTAAACTGTCCTGGCCGAAGCTTCCATTGATGCTAGCAAATTTGTTTTTTTGTTTTACTTTGGTATTTCTTTAGTTCATGCATGTGATGTCCAGGGCAGCAGGAGCATGATTTCCTATCCATAGAGCTTTACATGATTATATAGCGTGGCTTCTTACAGTTTTAGAATTTCTCTGCTAATGAAATAGGCATAAAGATCCTGCTCTGCTGTTGACCTTTGAAAAAATTCAGTAAAGACTCTGGGTAAAAAAATGTCAAACTTGATTATAATTGCCTTGCATTTATTGCATCTTAGGAGTTAAGTTATGTCTTTCTCATAAGGTACTCTTTATGCAAGAACAAAAAGCATGATACCTACTGATTTTTCTTTATGCAAAATAAAAGGACAGATATTCTATGGTCTCACTTATCTTTGAAGATTGGAGCAGTATTACAACAATATTGACATGCCCAGCACATGTTTTTTTTATCTTTCTTTGTTCAGCTTATGTGCTGCTACAGGTTTATGTGAACTTATTTAGGCTAACCTATATCTTCTTTATAAACTTTTTTAGCCAACATCTTTCTACATGGATCCAGTGGAAAATAACGATGGTCGCACTCCATTAGGAAATTTGACAAACACCACCAATTCAGGTAACTGCTGATATACATATGGATATGAATTTACTTTGGACCAACAATAATTTGCATTCATTATGTATTGATCCATGATACCTATAATGGAGCAGGTTGTGAGAGTGTATCCAATTCACAGACACAAGCTAACGATGCTAAGCAACGCAAACGAGAAAAGGAAAGAGCACGGTATGCGGAACAAAGGAATGAAATAAATAGGAAACGTCGTGAAAAATACCAAATAAAAAAAACAAGAAACTACCCTCACTGGTGTATCGAGAGGTGACACAACAATCAAATTTAATCCAATCAATGTGCATTATCCTTTGGCTCTTATTTATGGTGTAATAATTATCTTGTAGCTAATGGAGTTGTATTAGACAATGAAGACATAAATAACGATGAAAATAGTAATTGGTTGCATAGCAACGATTCCTATCAACCCATGCAGATTGATAAAGAGAACCTAGGTACTATTTTTCTATAAAGTTCCTCCATGATTATGGTGTTGTTGCATTATAATAGATGTTTTGTAAATATAAGTAAGATGTCGTTGTCTATATTTACTAATATAATGCTAATATGTTATTATGTAGCTGCATCTGATTGTGCTAACACCATAAACCACCCTAAGAGAAATGAGTAAAAAAATTATACGATAGGGAGCGCTATAAAAATATGACGCCTGATCAGAGGCAAGCAAGGCGTGAGCGTCAAAGGTTGCATAATAGTGAACCCAAGCGTAAGGAGGCCTTGAAAATAGCTGACAACAAATTTAGAGAGATGCGGAAGCACATGCTACACCCAGAGTCTATTACCATGGAGAACCCGTTATATATTCCTGAGCCTGTGTGCCCCACTATGGGAGCATCTGGAGTTGATGGATACACGGCGAAATTCAGTGATTGGTTTATCCCGGAGTCCAGAGCAACACTCTTTATATTCCTCCACCTCATGATTAGGCCGATGATGAAGGATGTGATGAGTTACTGTCTGGCCATATGACAAAAAGATCACATGTTCCATCTGGACAAAGACATGCGTTGTTCACGTGTCATAACATGATGTTTGAGCGTCGCATTGGTTCGAACACAAGGGCATATAATAAAGATGGTGACTGCATGACTGAAGACCGAGTGGGTGCTAACACACCCTTGCCTCAACCAGTCGTGACCAACAATGGTATATACTGATGTCTCATTATCCCATTTAGGGGACCTATATACCATATTATACCTAACCGATCCATGGTAATTCCGTGATTAACAGAAAGGGCAGGACCCAACATTCAGGCTACATCATCCACACCGACGGAACCACTGTTTGATGATTGTGAATGCATGGCCGAATGATAACACACCCTTGCCTCAATCAGTCCTGACCAACAACGGTAAATACTAATGCCTCATGACCCCATTTAGGTGACCTATATTGTATACCATATTATACCTAACTCAACCATGGTCATTACATGATTATCAGAAAGGACAGGACCTAGCCCTCAGCCTGCATCAGATGCACCGATGACACCACTATTTGACGATAGTGGTAATTTACACTATTTTGTAACATTTTATAAACTATTTGAACTCCTTTGTTTATTTTTACTCGTAGTTCTACTAACTCACGTATCTTTGACAGCCATAGATGATGATGAGGGAGATATATTTGAAGAGGATGAGGGATACCTGTTTGCCAGGTAAGGTATTTGTATGAAAGACTGAATATAAATCAAATCTTCCACTACTTTATCTAAACTATTATGGTTTAAATGTTATTTCAGAATAGAAAGATGATGATGATGTCCAAGACAATGACCTTAAGGAAGACATGACTTCTGTCCCTAAAGTACCTAACCGATACGATGAGGTGTATAGTAACATGCCTACAGATACCCATATGTTAAAACCTATTGCAAATTGCGAGCACTGCGATGCAAAAAGGTTTGAGCATGAACCACGTGGGTTTTGTTGTCGCGACGGAAAGGTCGAGCTCAATGAACTGAACATACCTAATGAGCTTGTGAGGCTTTGGTCAAGTAATGACGCAGATGCTAGGCACTTTCGTAACAACATTAGGTTTTTCAATGGTCATTTCTCTTTCACTTCTCTATATTGTCGCCTCGATAGCGCTACTGCAAGCTGGAAGAACAGTGGCATATACACCTTTTGTGCACATGGCCAAATCTATCACAACATAAGGTCATTTGGCAGAGAAGAGAGTAAGGAGCCAAGACATCTTGAGCTTTACTTCTACGACGATGATCCAAGCCTTGAGCACCGCTATCGACGATGTCGTGAAGAGAAGTGCCAAAAAGACAAAGAAGTCATTAAGAGGCTTGTGGCCATCCTTCGTGACAACCCATACTCACAACATCTTAGGAGTGTAGGCCAGGTTGACCACCTCAAGGACTATCATGTCACACTAAACCTTGACCAGAGGCTGGACCAGAGAACATACAATGTACCGTCAACTTCAGAGGTGGCTGCTGTTTGGATCGAGGGAAGCGAACTCCTTGGTCAGTTCTAGAATAGTGTTGTCCTACATGGGAAAGATGGAAGCAGACATGGCCTCCGCTCATATCATGGATGTTACGATGCTCTTTCATACCCTCTATTCTTCCCTAAGGGTGAGCTTGGGTGGCACATGGATATTCTAAAGAAAGGAGTTAGTATGTAAGAAGTCAACGAGTATCGTGCCATACAGAAGGCTCGTAGTGGGTCAGAAAAAGAAATAGGTTTGTTATTCTTCTTATTTAAATACTTCGCATCCATGTACCTCAGTGGTTATTCTACAAACAACTCTAATTTATGGCTATTTTTTGTAGACTCCCCTAGTAGACTACACGTGTCTGTGCGTGACTTTTACTGCTACAAGTTTCAGATGCGTCCAGGAATATTTAACCCCATACTGTACGCAAGCGTCTATTCCAGTAGTTTGCAGTCGACACGTACATCAAGATTGAGAGTTCTCGATTAGATTATATACGCAACCATCAAGATGATATTAGGGCCGACCTCTACCAAGGATTGGTTGATAGCCTACATGTCGGTGAAGGTAGAGCAGAAGCTATTGGAAAATGGACAGTGATGCCTTCATCATTTATTGGAGGCCCACGTGACATGAGGCGTCGATACATGGACGCCATGGCTCTGGTACGGAGGTTTGGTTAACCGGACATCTTCCTGACTATGACATGTAACCCAAACTAGGATGAGATCAAGCATGAACTCTACCCTGGACAGACACCACATGATTGTCCAGATCTCGTTGTTCGGGTCTTTAGAGCAGAACTACAACAACTGAAGGATAGACTACTAAAAAAGGATATCCTTGGAAAGGTGCAAGCACATGTTTATGTTGTGGATTCTAGAAGAGGGGTCTGCCACATGCACAATTTTGCTAATCATGGATAGGAAGTACAAGATCACGTGCCCAGAGCAGTATGAT